ACCATCCCTAGGAGTGATTCTAGAAGGAAAAATGGGGCAGAGTCTGTGTGGCTTCTGGCTCTAAGAATAGCTCAGTAGACAAAAAAGCTGCAGTGGTAACCTGAAACTCAAAAACAATGAATGAACAATGAGCACACACCGTGATAACATTCATATACAATACTGTGAGTATGCCACACTTCATTTCAATCATCGCCATCTGTTTAAGTATGATATATATTAGTTTAAAGGACACATGTTATGCAAAACTCACCTTTTGCCTTATTTTGTGTCACCGCGTGGGTCTTTACTTTGCGGTCGGTAACAAGATGGCGCCTGTGCTTGGTTTAGCCACAGTCACCGGCCACTTTTTCAAACTTTTCTCCACTAACCACCTCTGCGATCCTCTTCAGTAGTGTCCCTGCTACCATCTCCTACGATCGCCAGACTCTTTTGTCCTTCCGTTCGTTCACGATCGCCCAAGATGCACCGAGGACGTTCCATCCTGTTTGTTTATCTGAGTTGCGCACCGGCCCGGAGCCAAATGACGGTCCCGAGCTGCCCGCCTCCGGCTATGTTTATCCGGTCCTGGGAAAACGTTGGAGGAAAAGAGGTAAACGAGCAGGGATCCAGGTGAGAATAAGACTTCTCTAAAAGCGTGGTTTATCTAGTAAACATCGGCGTGATCATCTAGCTTCTTGTCCTTTGTTTGGTGACCTGAGCGCCACTTCTGCATTCCCGCCAGGCCGCGTTGCAGCACGGTTTCTCCGTCCAAGTTTTTTAAGGTCGGTTTATCCTCATTCCTCTGTGGTTTCTCCTCCTGTTCCCTCCATAAGTGTTTTTATAAACACCTTGGATCTAACCCTGCTAATTTATGTCCTCTAACTCCAGCTGTTTCTGTAGTTTCTGATTCCTCCACCTCACTCAGCATGGCTCTATTAAACACCCGCTCTGTTAACAATAAGTCCTTCCTGCTCAATGATCTAATTCTGTCTAAAAACCTGGATTTTCTGTTTCTGACTGAAGTTTGGCAGCAAACATCTGATTATTCTGCTCTGATTGAACTCTGCCCGAGTGGTTATTCTTTTCTTAGCCAGCCCCGGGGTTCTGGTCGTGGTGGAGGCCCAGTTGTTGTTTACAGAGACCATCTTCCATGTAGCTCTACAACCTCTGGTCACTTTGCTTCCTTTGAACTGCGGCTGATTAAAGTCGGGCGTAAGGACCCGTTCTACTGTGCTGTGATCTATCATCCACCTGGTCCAAACAGTTCTTTCCTTCAGGAGTTTAGTGGCTTTCTATCCTCCACTGTGAAGCTGTCCAGACTGGTGATTGTTGGTGACTTTAACATCCACGTTGATGATCCCTCTGATCACTTTGCCATGAATTTCTCCAGCCTTATGGACTCCTTCAGCTTTACCCAGCATGTTTCTGGCCCCACACACACACCAGGGGCACACTCTAGACCATGTTTTTACCCTGAGTCTAAATGCTGACAGTGTTTGTCCTGAGGATGTTTATATTTCAGATCACCATTGTATTTTCTTTAACTTGTCAGTTTCTGCGTCCCCACCTCCTGCTCGCCGTCTGGTTAGTTCTCGTTTTCTTAATGAGAGCACAGCTAGCAATTTTTCTGCTGCTTTTTATCCACCCTGTTCTTCTGATAACGACCCAGATTCCTTATTTTCTCAGTTTAACGAGCACTGCCTCTCCATTCTGGACAATATCTGTCCTGTCAGAACCAGATCAGTTCCTGCAGTGAACCCTACTCCCTGGCTTAATGACAGCTTTCGCAGCCTGAAGCGCCAATGCAGAAAAATTGAGCGCTTGTGGAAGAAAACCCATCTCCACGTCCATCTGCTGCACCTAAAGGATCTTCTGACATCCTTTAACTCTGCAGTCAGAGACGTTAGGGTTTCCTATTTCTCCAACCTGGTGTCCCAGAGCAAAGGGAACCCCAAGGTGCTGTTTAACACCATCAGCAGCATCGTCTCTCCTGCCTCTCCTACAGCCTCCATCCACTCTGTTAGACTGTGAGAACTTTCTGTCTTTCTTTGTGGACAAAGTCAATAAGGTTAGATCTAGCATCTCTCCTTCAGCCTTATCGCTGCCTCTCCCGACTCCAACCAGGCCCATCATCCTAGATAGCTTTGCTCCTGTTTCTTTGCCTGAGTTAACCAAACTAGTTAACTCTACGAAGACCTCTGCATGCCCCCTCGACATCTTACCCTCATCTTTGTTTAAAAGCGCTTTTCAGTCCATCGGTCCCAGCGTGCTCTCGATAATTAATGCTTCTCTGGTTTCTGGTCAGGTCCCTGCTTACTTTAAGAATGCTGTAATCCACCCGCTTCTTAAAAAAACCGAGTCTCGACCACTCTCTCCATTGCAGCTTCAGACCCATCTCTAAACTTCCGTTCATCTCCAAGATCTTGGAAAAGGTTGTGGCTAAACAACTCACAGCTGCTCTTGATGAACATAACATCTATGATTGCTTCCAGTCAGGTTTTCATAGAGCTAGGTCCTGCTGGACCTGACTGCAGCCTTTGACACTGTTGACCATCACCTGATACTGGAGATCTCATCTCCTCACGCTTAGACTACTTTAACTCTCTTTTCACGTGTCCGAGCAGAACCTCCCTGAACCGTCTACAGGTGGTTCAGAATGCCTGTGCTCGGCTTCTGACCAAGTCCTCCAAACACACCCACATCACCCCGCTTCTCCTCCAGCTTCACTGGCTGC